GAACACAACTCCTCTACAAACCGCTTGATTCTGCCCTCCCATTTCCCGCGTCACCTAAATTCCTTCCCTCTTCCTCAACTCCTCCCCCTCCTCCCTATTTCTATTCCTTTCTTGTAGTGGATGCCTCCCCAACGACATATTCAATACCCACTCCACAACCACCACCTCCACTACCCTCACCAACCAGACCAAACCAAACCAAACCAAACAAGCTCCTCCCTCTCCTCTCATCGAATTCCAATTCTGTTACAATTAAAAGCTTTGGACTTCTCCGTCATGTCCCCTCTGTCACTCATCATCCTGATTTCTGTATTTTCTATCCTCTCCCTATCTACCTCCCAGCCTCCACCTCTTCGCCGTCAGTAATTCAATCCCTTCACTTCTCCCACTCTAGATTTTTTTTCATTTTCACTTTCTCTTAACTTCTCCATCTTCCTTTTGCTTTTTCTTTTTTCTTTTTTAAATTATTTGCAGGTACGTTAATTGATTGCGGTGCTACCGTGCCGTCAACAATCAACGGTCTCCAATGGATCCTAGACACTGGCTACATCACCGGTGGAACAGCAAAGAACCTAACAGTTCCAGTACTCCATCACACTCTCTCCACCGTCCGATCATTTCCCCTGCAAAATAATCTCCGCCGCAAATTCTGCTACGTGGTCAAAGTTTTCCGCGGAGCAAAGTACATTATCAGGTCAACTTACTTCTACGGAGGAATCAACGGCAATGATTCACCTCCTGTTTTCGATCAGATTGTTGATGGAACACTCTGGGGTGTGGTGAATACCACGGAGGATTATAGAGATGGCATGTCGTCTTACTACGAAGGTGTTTTCTTGGCTCGAGGGAAGACGATGAGTTTCTGTATTGCTGCAAATTCATACACAGAATCTGACCCTTTTATTTCGGCCTTGGAGTTCGTGATTTTGGAAAATTCGTTGTACAATTCAACTGATTTTAAACAGGCTGGACTTAGCTTGGTTGCCAGGCACAGTTTTGGCCACAATGAACGTATTCGGTGAGTTATCAGAACCGAACATTGAATTGCATGTTGATTTGTCGTTTACGAAATCTATTTCTCTGCATATATTGAATGATTGTTTCAATTAGATATCCTGATGATCAATTCGACCGAGTTTGGGAGCCATTTGGAGCAAATGATTCAACAATATCGAGTAGTAAAAATGTGTCTGTTTCTACTATCTGGAATCTTCCTCCTACCAAGATATTTGAAACGGAATTGACAATCAGCCGGTCAAGTCCTCAGGAAATGAACTGGCCTCCAGTGCCACTTCCTAACTCAACATACTATATTGCTTTATACTTTGCACACGATCATAATTCCTCGCCAGGGGGTTCGAGGATTATTGATATAAGTATTAATGGTGTACCGTATTATAAGAACATGACTGTGACGCCGGCTGGTGTTGTTGTCTTTGCAAGTAAGTGGCCTCTTGGTGGTCTTACGAAGGTTGCTTTGACTCCGGCTACTGGTTTGCGCATTGATCCGTTGATTAACGGTGGAGAGGTGTTTGATGTGATTGCACTTGGAGGAAGAACACTTACAAGAGATGGTATTATTAACAAGGACTTGCCTTTTCTATTGGATTAATATAATTAATTTGTTTTCTAGAAAAGTTTTGAACTTCTACAAGAATTTTGTTGTTGCTGTCATTCACTGAAATCATATAGCTAAGCATGAGACCGGGAAAGTGTGAATGTGATTCATGGTGGAAGAAAAAAGACCTTTTATGCTGATTAAGTGCATTTGTAAATATTTGCATTCATTCTCTGCATCACAGTTCACATGATAACATAAACTTTGCCGTAGTGTTCGTCTTGTCCAAGTGGTGCTCGTTTATAACTTAAGGTAGGTGGAATTGGAGTTGAATTCATCATATAATTGCGCTTTGAATTTGTCACTTGCATTGATACTACTGATTATATGGAATTCTTATTCCTTGGTGCAGTAATAGCTCTGGAAGCACTGAAAAGCAGTTTCCAGAATACTCCACATGATTGGAACGGCGATCCCTGTATGCCACGTCAGTTTTCATGGACTGGGATTGCATGCTCTGAAGGCCCCCGGATTCGAGTGGTTACTTTGTAAGTTGGATCTGGTCATGAAAGACTGATTCTCTGTATGTGCAATGCTTCTTAGCCCTTGACAAACAATTTATCTTCTGTTTTCTTCTTGATTCCAGGAACCTGACAAGCATGGGTCTTTCAGGATCACTTCCACTTAGTATTGCCAGATTGACTGCATTGACTAGCATGTAAGTTATCAAAACTATAATCATCAACTAGTGGAAATTGTACAGGAATTTCTAGATTGATGATCTCTTGTTTCTAACAGCTGGCTCGGGAACAACACTTTATCAGGACCAATACCTGATTTCAGTTCATTAAAGATGCTGGAGACATTGTAAGATTGTCCTCCTGCCCTCCTCTGTTTTTTTTCCCCATTTGGCCTACATTAGGGTGCTTGGTTGCATTTGGAAATGGAGTATTTGTGGATTAGTCTACATTTGAATAGTATCGGTGACCTGTTTGTTCTGAAATGAACCTATTATCCCTGCTGCTTATGATATGGTGGGATCCTTTATATATCCTCAGGGGTTTGCTTGTATAATAACATGCTAATATGTGTGTGGAAATATTGGGGGAACCGTTTGAGTGCAACTTGTCTACCAGTTGGCTTGGCTTTTTTTTTTTAATACAAAATATTTTTAGATAAATATTACTTTACGTGGCATTGTTTTCATATTGGAAAGGCATTTGGAAGACAACCAATTCACTGGCGAGATCCCTTTGTCACTTGGAAACATCAAGGGTCTTCGAGAACTGTAAGTTTTTTTAACACAAGAACATATGCAAGTCCTACGTTATCATTCTATGCTTTAGTTTCATAACGCGGCTCCTTATCCACATATTTGCAGTCTATGCTGTTCACACCTTGGGCTTTTGTTGTTCAATATGCTTTTGGTTGTTTCCTGCTCCTAATTGTTATGCTAAATGGACAGAACTTAATGGAAGAGTGTATGATTTGAATGTTAAGAAATCCTTTACTGTTCCATCGCAGATCTAGAACTCAGCATAATTGGAAACGTGACACTGTTCGTTGAAGAATTTGAAATTTGTATTATTGCATACACTGAACCTTTGGTGGTCTATCTCGTTAGATTCTTATAATAAGGAAGTGGAATCTGCATGTTTATCCCAACCCTTCCTTTGTATAGGCACATAGCACACAATCTCTTCTACGCAATAAAAGTACCAACATGGGATTCATGTTGGTTACTGCGCTGTTAACTAAAATGGATGAGTAGAATCTAGAAGCACTCATCTTTGAAATTGGTAAAGGGCCATTTCTGACTTGATGGATACCTTGTTCATACAAATTAAGACATTTTACCTGGTCCAGTTTTTGGCTCCACACTGATGATCTTAGATAGGAATTTATGAAACATGCATAAAAATATTTTGTTTTGTCCATAGCGGAGCTGTGAAAAGTATGCTGAGGAGTTGATGCATATGGTTTAGTTTCCAGGTCATGATACCCAATCTTTTTCGTGGTTGGACTGCTGTCATTGATTCATTGCAGATGGCTTTCTCACCTTTATAATAAGAATGATCTCTGCTGAAAAAATATTTGTAGTTCACAGCCCTGTAAGTTTCCATGAGTACTGCTGAATTGAAATGGAATTGGAAGAACTATTTTGACATTTTTCACCATCCAAAATTTCTCTTGAAGTCTGGATATCAAACTTGTGTTGCATTTTTCTGATTTAGTGGTATCTAGTCAATTATCTTTCCTATTATTGTCGCTACCATTACGTGCTACTAATTCTTCCGACTTAAACAGCTATGTAGTTAAAAATCTGGATGGTTAACCATTTTATAGCAGTCATTGACTTATTCTTCATTCTTCAATTGCTTTTTTGGTAATTCTAATTTTATTCTCGATTTACTTGACATAGTCCCTTTGTCTTTCAGGTTCTTACAGAACAATAATCTGACTGGCCAAATCCCACATAATCTTATTGGGAAACCTGGACTGAATCTTAGGTGAGCTTGAATGCACAATAGTTTTTATTAATGTTGCTAGTTATTTACTGGTAAAATTATTTTTCAAGTAATAGTTTAAGCTAATTGTTCAAATGTATTAAATTAGGACTTCTGGAAATCAGTTCTTGTCCCTGTCTCCTTCTTAAGCAGAACACGTTATGTGCACCCAAGGCAAAGGTGACAAGACTGCGTTTATGTCGAACCTGATTTTAACCATTTGTAAATCCTCATTTATTCTAATTTAGAGATCTACTGCATCTAGGTTTGAGAAATTTGCCAGAAGCTTTGCCATTGTCAGATCCAGAATCAGTTTTTTTCCCCCCTGTTTTGACCAGTTTCTAATTCCTCAATTCTACGAGGACCGCAACCATATACTTCAATTGGCTGTGCATACCAAGTCAATCTGATTGTTCTTTAACAAGGCACAGTTGGATTATGCTGTCAACCTGTACGTAAACAACTGTTCCTGTATATATATATATATATTCGTTGTTTTGATGTATCATATTTTTTAATCTTTAGTGGTGTTTTACATAACTTTTGTTTTTGTTATTTGGTGTTTTTAGCTTAAAATATTAAATTGATGTTTTTAATATTCTATGATGATTTTGATGGGTGTGTGTGTGTGTAAAACTATACCTGTTCTCTCTCTCTTTTTTATTTATTTATAAAATGACGAGGCTCGATGGTTTGTTGTTAATAAACGTCCTATACCATTTACTTTCCCTTGGCATCTGAACCTGCGATCTCAATTTCTTAGGCCATTAGGGATGATATCCATAGTTAATCCTGTTATATCTCTCCGTCATGCTTTTCCGCTTTTTACCCTCTTTGAACTTCCTTGGCAATTGTACCACGAGAGTAACTTTTGGAAAGTCAAAGAAAGAAAGAGAACCGTGCTATTTACCATCTTTTACTTAGCCAATGGTCTCAAAAGAAAATCTTGGAGACTACGGACCTTCTGATAGATATACAATAATAATGGGGTGTCAGGCGTTCCATGACACAGCACTCTGATCTTACAGCATGCATTTAGTTCAGGCAATTGACCAGATTCCTTTTGGCCGATCCTTCCATGTGGACCTTTCTGATTCTCAGGATCTGCAACTTTGCATGTGGCAGGACACCTTACTAGTTCCTATCTGTAAGCAATTGAAACTGTACGCCTTCTAAGCAACGCAAAGCGGAAGATATTATTTTGTCCATACCATCCATTATAGATAATGTCGTCATTTACATGATAATTCATCAGATCCATCATGATTAACAGTACTCTAAACACAAAAGTAGGGGAAAAACTGAAGTTCGAAATGAAGTAAATCAACTGATAAAAGAGATGAACGAACATATTGAACAATCCTACGGTTCATACAGCCTCGAGCTACTTCTTCTCTCCTAATCTTCACCTTTCCAATCTTCCTTTCTTGAGGGGAAATAAAGGTGGCAATGCACTGCTCTTCATCTGCGTGCAAATTGGTACATTTATCATTGGCCTTATTCTCATACTGGCTGATCTTGTTCTCTCTAATCCTTTCTTTATCCGCTTCACGTGCTTCTCTCCATTCCCGGAACCTCGCTTCCCTTCTTCTTTAGTAGCAATGTCTGCAAGGGAGCTAGAAGAAGATGATGTTGAAGAGGAGGAGGATGACGGTGACAAAGAAGAAGCACGCTGCTTCTTTAGCCGCAGCAACTCTTTCCACAGAACAGTGCACTTAGGTGGCCTTGGAGATGGGTCATCATCAACAAACCAAACCCTTGGCTCTTCCTTGCTCGCCTCCTCTTCCTCCTCGGCATTTTTTGTCTTAAGGCAGACTTTGTTGAGTTTCTCAGAATGCTCCATTTGCCAAAAGGGAAGTAATCTCCCTTCGTAGAAAAGCTCATCTGCTGTTAGCATAGTCTGGCTACTCATTTTGCTCGAGAGGAACTCAAATTCTGCATTTCTAGCCCTTTCTCGCTCTGTTTCTTTATCTTTCTCAGCCTGTGGGCTTGGACTAATGGAAATGAAGTTCTTGTCATCAAAGAATTCTGCAGAGAAAGAAATACGGGGGCTTGAAGGTTGGTCAATGGATCTAGATGTTTCTTGAACAGTTTCTAGGGATACCATTTTCTGCGTCTAGAACGAGAAAAATGGAGGAGTTTGTGGAGTTGACTGTGGTGAGGTGTGAGTGAAGAGGTGCATGGGATTCGTGATATATAAAGGGCAGAAGATGCCCGCTTTATATTGTCCTGTAACCTTTTGGTCTCCTTTGTTTTGTTATGTGAGTGATTTGTCTGGACGGTGAGATTATAAAAATTAAGTGGTCCGCTAAACCCGAAACAAGTGAGCTTAAGGTGTTGTTTAGAATATGGGTAGCAGCACATGGACACCTTGGGAGGAGCTAAAGACAATTTTTTTTATTACTAGTATTAATTTTCCATAAGATTCTGAGCTCTCTGTACAATCTTTTTTTTTTTTTTTTAATTCCAAGGACAGAAAAGAATTGACAGGAATTTAAGTCATCTCATCAAGATCATCGATTATGGGAGAAAAAAAATTTCCAGGTCAGTTTCTGACAAATGACTTGAAATAAGGTTAGTCACAGCATCTTGGTTAAGTTCTTCCATTTATAATTGGAACAAATTTAAGAATATCTGAGGATGATGTTAATTGTATTTTTCTTAGAGAAAAAAAAGTGCAGTTTAAAGGTAGCTTTATCCCGTAATGGGATAAAAGGAAATTAAATGGGAAGAAGAAAAATTAAACTAGATTATCTATTAGTTTAACGGATGTCGATTATTATTAAGCTTGGATCAGTCAAAGATAAACTTTGTTGGATTGACTCGGCATGAACATGAAAAGAGTCCTAAGCATGTGGTCACATGAGAGTAATTTCTAGCCATGTGAGGGCTGAATCAAAAGAAACAAGCAGGAGATAAATCTCAATGACCAAGATACCCTTTGAAATAGCTTGGCATATGCGGGTACAGTATGTTATTTACTAACCCGGGGATGGGTTTTTCTGGTTGCATGGGAGAGGTTTACACGTGGTAGATATCATATCTACCGGCCAGCATGCCCCTTCTTAAAAAGCTTCAACATAAGATTGGGTGGACAGCTCTAATGAAGTTCAGACAGCTAATAAACATAGGAGTAATCTTTTAGGTAGTATACATGTTCTGTGATTCGATGATTCACAAGCACATTATTTCAGGCATTCTGCAGCCCTACTTTGTTCTATTATTGCGGAGAGAAAATAATGTCAAGAACTTTAACATATTGAACAAACAACAAAATCAAACAAGTGGAAAAAGATCCAAAAGTAAGATAAATTATTTTGTCTCAGTTTCCTTGCCTTTCTCTCGGCAACTCCACAGTAGGACATTAAATTTGTCTAATTTTTATGATGACTCAAGTCGCCTATTCATTATTGATGATGAGAATGATGTTTTTTAGTATTTAAATAGTAACTAATTATATGTTTAAATCAATATTTCATTTTTTAAAATTCAAGAAGTAGATAATTGATGGTAAAATATTCAACACCTGCAAAACAATGGATTTTAGAAACCCTTAAATATAAATATTTAGAGAATAAAAATTGTGAATCTTTTACCTGGTGGTTTAGAGAGTATTTATAGTTTTCAAACCTTGTCATGTTGTTGGAATGGAATGGTTGAAAAGTTTTTTTTTTTATGATAGCATTAATAAGAGATAAATATCTTTTACACAGTTACACCATATTAATAAAAGATAAACATCTTTTACACAATATTAATTGTTGAAATACAATGAGCCCTTAGAAGACTTTTATAACTTAAGGGTGTAAATAAATAAGTATTCTTAACATTAACATTCTACGTTAAAAGTAATAAAAATAAACAAATAAAACCTTATAACCTAACATAGGGCCTATAATGACTGTCAGAACCATATCTATTTGGGTATGGTGTGATAACAAGCTTATGGACGGTGGATCTGATAGCTTGCCAAACTTATGTCTGTTTGAACTCAACGCATAGTTGAACTCAAGGATATTGGGTCTGACAGCTCGTCGAACACAAGTATACTAAAGCTTAACGCATAGTTAAACCCAATGATATTGGGTTAGGTAGCTTGCACGCGTAGTTGAACCCATGAATGTTAGGTATGGCAGCTCGTTATAACCATATGTACTTCAGCTCATTACATAGCTAAATCCAATGATGTTGGATCTGACAACTCACTAAAACTATGTATGCTTAGGCTCAAATGCTTAGTTGAACCCAAAGATATTAGATTTGAAAGCAAGTCAGACTCATGTCATATGGTTTTGACCAAGCCTAGGGATGTTGAATTATCATCTTCCGTTTGACCCTTTTAAATATAGATTTAGACTAAAAATTAAAATTTTAAAATATGTTGATCCATCAATATCCATATAATGTCTTTTAACAGTTTAATGTTCATGCAATAAATCAAATGTTTTTATTGTCATGTATTCAATTATATGTACATATTCTCTTATATGTCTATAAAAAATGTTAAGGTGGTTTACAAAACATGCATTTGATAAGATGAAGTGAGAAACTTGAAATGCCTAAGCAATATAAAAGTGGTGTTGGCACTTGGTAGAGTAAGTTTTTATGACTGATTTTTTCATGTGATGAAGTCCTAAAAATTCAAGTAACCTATAAGCAAGGCTCACAGGTTGGATAATCGATTAATCAATTAGTTTTAGCAATCTCATCTATTCTCTATATATCAGGAGTTTAGTAGCTTGTATTTAGGGTTTGGGAGGCCAAGATGGCTTATGGCTAATACTTGCAAAAAATCTTCTTTGGTAGAGGTGGAGACTCACTTATACTTAAATAAATATCATTTTAGGAAGAGAAAATATAATAATATTCTGGAGAAAGATGCTCTGACAATATATATACAGAAGATAATGAAGATTGTGAATCTCTGTTCTGAATATCTCATGGTGTATCTATAACCCATGAATTTTTTTTTTATTTTATAGAAAAAATAGGCTAGAGTATGACTTCATCTTTATAATATTTTGAGTTGCATTAGGAGCTGTATTTCACTCATTTTATCTAGTTAAAAATAGAGAAATAACAGGCCATGATAAATTTAAGTCAATACAAGACTAGGCTTGGCAAACTGCGAAGCCTAATTATGGTTGGGCCCGGTTAGCACTAAACTCACTGCGCCTCCACTAAGACGTGTTTGGTGTTGTTGTGTGCTAGAACGAACCTGAGAATTTAAGGAAATTTATACCTGTATGTTTTTCTTGGTCTAACATTTATTGGTAAAAGATATGTAAAGATATACTAGTAAAATCTTGGTTCATCAATAGCCCCTTAATCTTTGCAATATAATAATATGCAAATACTTTTTTTAATATTTTAGTTTGGGTAAAATGATGAGTTTTGCTTGTATAAAAGGACATAAGCTTGGAAAAAAGCAAAGAAATATCCATATAGACGGAAAGAAATTCTTTCAAACATAAAAGAGCAATAATCTATACTTAGAAAAATTTGGAGAGATTGAGGGTTCCATGCTCATTATTTATACAAATTTCTAAGTGGTTATGTGGAATCCAATGAGAATGAACCTATACTTAGAAATTTCCAAGTAATTATAGATTTTTTGGAGAGTGAAAGCATGTAACTTTTCCAACATTGTCATAGGGCTTAAAAACCCTTTACTAAAAGTGGTTTTTTATGGGGCATGAAAGCCCTCTACCGAAGAGTGATGATTAGATGATGTTATTTATACTAGGAATACCAAATTCATCCCTTAAAGAATGATGTATATAGCATTGAGGAGATCAAATCCATACCTTGGAGATTGAAGTATATAGCATTAAGAAGATCACATTCATCCCTTGAACATTGGTGCATATAGTATTGGGAACACTACTACGTCTATCTCTTGGAGATTGATACATATGAGCATCGAGAATACTAATTGCACCCTTAGAGAGTGATTTATATAGCACAATAAGACTAAATTCATCTATTAAAGAGTGATGTATATAGCACTGGGAAGACTAAATCCATCTCTTGGAGAGTGGTATACATAACACTTGAAAGATTGCATCTATTATTTGGAGATTGATGTACATAACCGTACTAGAGAGACTACATCATGACTAGACATAGTAAATTACCAAGCCAAATCATGGTTGTGCGTCTCTATTGAGATGTGTTTGGTGCTAGCATATGCTGGGTCAACACACCTAAAAATTCAAGAAAATTTATTAATTGTGTTTTTCTTAATTTGATATTTATCGATAAAGATATGCCGGTAATATCTCGTTCATAACCATGTAATCAAGGAAAAGAAAAAAACAAAATCAAGATTATGAAACTCACGAACATCATCAGATCGCTTAATATTGCAACGAAGGGAAACTGGGACTTGTTGATGTTGAAGAACAGCTCGGTTGTATTTTCTCCTTGTTCTTTTTTGCCAAACATAATCAGAGTAAAGTTACTGTTGCAATTGCAGACAAGAGTACTGGTTTAAGAGACAGAGAACTTGATTGCAAATACTTTTGGGGGAAGGGACCACAAATTATTTGATATTTTGACAAGTTAAGAGAAGACTAGACTAGAGGCGCTGTGCATAATTCTAATAGGACGAGAGAGATGACTCCCAGGCAAAGCAATGTGGCTTAACTGTTCCTGAAGTGGGGGACCATACCCAGTTTGTATTAAATTAAGCATGGATGTAGTCTGCTTTATGCAAAGCTTAGCTGTTAGGTAGAACATCTTGATTTTAGATACCATAATAATTCAGTCAGGGATAGTATAATGGCTCTGAGAGAGAGTACTAGTTTTGACTCTGACCAAGCATATGTGTGGAGGAAGGCCATTCATTGTTAGGCAGGCAGTGAAACTTTGGTTGGTTAAAGTTGCATGCCTGTATTGTGAAAGTGTTTTCAGATTGTAAAACTCTGACCAAGCAGTGTGGCTTAACATTTTTTTTATTTTAAATTTAATTTTTAGTGTTTTTAGATTAGTTTCACATGTTAATATTAAAAATAAAATTTTAAAAATAAAAAAAATTATTTAAATATATTGTTAAATAAAAAAATACTTTGTGTAATTTGATAAATAATTGATACTATCATACAAAATGACCTCTAAATTTGTGAAAAATTAATTAAAACAGTTACTTTCCTTGAAATAAATTTCTAGTTGGGGGTAGGGAATTTACTTCAGGGTCAAACAAAATTTTTTTTAGAGATATCTGGGTGATGACTTGACTATTAGTATTCAGCCATGAAGACCCTTAGAAGAAGACGTAATTCAAAGTAGAGGACACGTCCTTTATTTCGCTCACGTTTTTTGAGGCATTGTCAGCATTAGATCGACGATGCAGTCGAGGCAAGCCAACCACGGAGGCTAATGAGTGATCAGGGGAGTAAAACATAAAAAAACTAACTACTAGGTGGTGACTCCCCCACC